TACCCTAACTAGAAGCTGACCCCCGCGCGTGCAGGCGCAGCCATGGCGGGCGCCCCGCCTCCTTCTCCGTATGGTGGTCCACCGTGGCCGCCTGAGGACCAATGGTATTGCTACCAGGAGCCGCCGCCGCCGCTCCACCGGTTCCCCTACCAGCACCTACAGCACGCCGGCGACTGGGGGTCCAGAGGACAGGCGGAGGCCGGGACCTGGGCCGGATGGTACCCGCCGCTCCAGCATGCCGGCGGATGGGGATTCGGCGGTCAAGCGCAGCAGCAGCACCCAGAGGCTCTCCTCCACCAGTACGGGAGCGGGAGCGGGGCGGTGGCGATGGCGCAGCAGCAGCAAGGGCAAGGCTGCCCGCCCTGCCTCTCTCTCTGCTCTCTCTGTCTCTCTCTGCTCTCTCTGTCTCTCTCAGATTGCATTGTAGGAAGTCTTGTAGCTATGCAGCTAACTGCTGAATAAAAAAAGCCTTGTAGGAAGCATGTAAATCGATCTGATTATATTGATGAAAATTGCTGCTGTTTGTTTGTCTGAATTCTTAAGCTATACATATGCACATGCATGTTTAGATTCTCGATCGAGGTTAAAGAGTGAGGGTCAGTGTTCAGTAGATAATAGTAAGATTAACTGAAAATTAAACTGCTGTATTATTTTCTTCAGTTGGTGAGGGAGGCCAATAGTTGAACATTAATCTGTCTTGTGATTGCTTAAGATATATAAAAGCGTGCGCCCGAATTGTAGACCCTAAACCCTAAACCCTAAACCCTGTCCTGGATTCAATGGTGATCCGAATTGTAGACCCTCTTCTGAAAGGTCCCGTCGGATCCTTTGGTGGTAACCTGCACATGTATCATGTCATGTCCTGGTGCACGGCACCCAGTGCGCCGCCAACGTTCGTCTTGACTTCTGCAATGTTCATGCTTGGCTGGAGGCCTGCTTCCCACCAGGACCTTGCAGGCCTCCCCTCCTAGACCACCTGCTAGATCTTCTCCTGCATATTCCCAGCCACTGTGAGGGAGCAGCACCTGCTCTCCGTGAGAAATCATACACATGTCCTTAGCCTCTTTTGCTCGACAGCAAACCCTGCTCATCAACTACGCAAAGCTGATCAAGTGCCTCGAGCCATCTGAGCTGGCCAAGCTCGAGAGCGCCATGTCCCTGAGAGAGCACGAGCAGTCGAGTGGGAAGCGTCACGCGTGGAGAGACTTTGTTAACAAGGTTAAGCTGATGAGGGACGTGAACACGAGGGCGGACACGGGCAGACCGATGCAGCCCTTCCGCAAGACAGACAGTCTCTACGATGGCTCCCACTTCCTCCGGGTGTTTGAAGTTCACGCACCACAATACGTGCTGGACTCAAATCACCATCCCGTCCTCGTGCACTTTGAGCAAGTTCACCTTATGATGCAGAGCTACTTCAAGGACGACTTGGCGGAGCTGTTGTACATTGCCCTGCTTCCGGCAGATG